CGGCGCTTCTGGAGGCCGCCCGCGCGCGCTACGAGAGCCTGCACATCTCGGACGACGTGTTCGGCGAGTCGGGCGCTGACAGCGGCGGCAACCCCTTCTACAGCACCTCGGCCGCCTCGCGCTCCTCCTCGGCCGCCTCCTCGGACGACGAGCGCGAGCGCCCCGTGCCGCCCGAGTCCCCCGCGCCCGCCCTGCCGGAGCCCGAGGAGGACGAGGCCGGCGCGGGGTGGAGCGCCGCTCTGCGGGACCGCCCGCCGCCGCGCTTCGAGGACACTGGCGGTGAGCTGTGGCCGGAGTTAAGAGGCGCAGGGCAGGAGCTCTAGGGCTCATGGGCCGCGCCGGCCATGCCTATGTCTTCCGTGTACGAATGAGGTCGGGAAGTTGAGATTTAAAGTGCCAGAGGGTCCGGCTATGCCTGCAGGCTCTAAGCTTCTCTTGGGTGGTGGCCCTGGCCAGCACTTTCAATGGCAGGGACGTGGAGGGACTTTCCCTCCCTTGCTGGGGTCACACCTGTGGGCCGTGGAAGTTAGGCTTTCCTGTAGAGGGCATTCGGAAAGCTTGGCACAGCTGGGGCACGTGCGTGCGTGCGCGTGGCGGTGGGGAGGGGGTGTCTTTTCTCCATGATTGGCCCTCACGGGCTGGATCGGTCCCCGAGGGGAGGCGGGTCGCAGCTGGAGCATGGCCAGCGACCCACCGATGAGGTGGGGCCCCCATGGCATCCTTACTGCTCGGCTTTCAGTTGATCAGAGAAAGTTACCTGTGGGCACCTTTTGGGGTCTCTTGCTAAGAATCGGGATCGGTGAAGGGCCGCGGCTGCTCTAGGGTGCGTGTCCTTCCGCCAGAGGTACTCGAGGTGTGTCGCCCAGCCCCGGAAACCTGGAAGGCCGATGCCCCGCGGGCTGCTGCGGCTGCAACCAGGTCCTGCTCCTGCTTTGGCCTTCTGTAGCATCCTCAGTAATCGCAGCATCCCGGGCCTCTGCCTTCTTATGTGAGACCCGCCCTCCCCGCAGCACTGCTGCCTGTGCTCCCGCACACCACGTTTATCAGTGGAAGTGCACACGAAACTCACGTTGAGGAAGCTGGGGAGGCCGCCCTGCGGCTTTTCCTGCTGCTCTCTTTTTCTACTTGATTTGGGTGCTAAGGATGGATCCCAAAGTCTTGCACATGCCAAGCACACACTCCTGTGGCCCACTGAATATTGCTCAACCGGCCAGGAGCGGGCACATAGGAAGTCAGACCAGGGCTTAGACCTGGTGGTGGTGCTGACAGAGCTGCTGGGCCCTGAGGGAGTGGTCTGCAACCCTCAGCCAGGCAGCAGTGTGTGGAGTGTGTCTGGGAAGGTCAAAGAGCTGTGCAGTGCTTTGGGTGGGTGAATTTTAAAGCACGTTCGTTCACTGGGGCTGCAGTTAAGAGTTTAGAGGTTTCCGAATCACTCACCCTTAATGGTTCTTATACACCACCCGACATTTTCCAGTGTGCCATCAAGGGCTTCCTGCCATGGACAGCTGTTTTCCGTACTGGCTTGGAGAATTATACCGGCCCACAGTCTGGCTTGCAGATGTTATACTGTAAGCATCTAGGGTCCAGTTTTGATTTTAGAGCCTCTGAGATATAAGTCTCTATGGGAGAACATAGCTAGTCTTGTGTCTTGGAGCAAAATAGGGAAACTGTGCTAGGTTCAGCCTAGTTATGAATAAGGATTATGCTTGTGCTGGTGTGAGAAGGGAGAACACACTGAAGTAAAAGTTAAAGTAATCTTGTATCTTAGAAGCTGTAATGGGAAGAATTCAGCAGCGCAGCCCTTTAATCTATCCACTGCAGTGCTTAGGGCATGAACACAGTTTCATATGTCACTGGGCTTTAGTTCAAATTCTACTCCTGTGGTTGCCCACGGAGTCTCAACCTAGACCCGGGGCCAACGTGAATTTCTTAACCAAATGCACCTATGGCTGTGTTGATCATCTCTAGTGTTGTTTCCTGTTCTGTGTGGGAGCTTGCCTTTTAAATCCAGATCTAGGTTTCCTCTTTGCAACCCCCTCTACCTGTTGGGAATTTGCAGTGGGGTGGGGGTGGAAGGACAAGTTTGATAGCTTGTTAAGCTTGAATTCAGATTTCTGTAAAGCAGAGGAATGTGATTTATGGAGGCTTAAAATAGATGCTCAAGTTCAGGTTGGTCAAGGAAAAACCTTGCGCCTAGCAGTGTGGAGAGAGATGGATGTGTTTATTAGCAGTGAGAAGCTACGCCGAGTGCCCCTGGAAAGGAGAGGTTGTCTGCCAGGTTCAGCTCTGCATAGTGTCTGAAACACTCCACTAAGCAAGTACACACTCCTCACGTACAAGGACAAAGCCTGCTTCTGTCTCCTGTCTTTATTGCCCATTTTATCTGCAGATCTCACTGTCCCGAGATCTGAGTGGGCAGAGGGGAGTTGGAAGAAAGCAAGATGTTGGCATTTGGGGCTGTAACCAGGTTCCACAATAGAAGTTTTGTAACTGAAATTATGGTTGCTCCTGCAATCCAGTGAGGAAAGCATAGGATTCTAGTTTATGAGACTTCTTGCCTTGACCCCCATGTAAGAACAGGTGTGCAAAGACCAAAGGGGTGTGTGTGTGTGTGTGAGAGAGAGAGAGAGAGAGAGAGACAGAGAGGGAGATTCTGATATGTAAATGTGAATTTCCTGTGCTAGATTGAGTTGACTAGGGTTTCTTCTATCAGAAAGAGACTAATACTGCAAGCCCTCTGAAGCCTGGAGACCTTTGGAGGGCCCCTGTGCATGAGGGAGATGGACACTGAGGGCCATTCTGATTTGAGCTGCAGTGGGAGCCGCTGTGTGGGTCCTGTGGAGGGAGTGAACACAGTAGGGAGACACATGGTGCTCAGCTGAGAGGGGGAGGGAGGGGATGCAGCAGAACTGGATGCAGAGCCAACACTAAGAGCAGTAGTTAAGGGTGAGAATCTTGGCCTTCTTAAAGCTGCTGTAGTCTTCCCTCTGTTTTTCAGTCCTCAGCTTCCTAGAGCAGCCTCTTCTCTCTCCTCTCATCTCCCCCAGGTTCTGGCTGCGCTTCTGTGGTTTCCCTTGGGATGATTTAAATATAAACACTGAGCTTGCAGGCTGGAGGACAGGCTTAACCCGTGGGCTGTTGAAGGGTTCTCCTGGGGGCCAAGATGCTTTCTGGGAGGCAGGGCTTGGGAGTTAGTTGCTTCTAACCAGGCCTAAGGCATATCCCCCTGAAGTAGCCCCTCAAGCCATCAGCCTGCCTGCCTATTGTGCAAATAACCAGCACAACCTGTAAGTTCACTTTCAGAAGCAGCATGAAATTCAGGCTGTCTGTGTTCTAGGCCTCTGCCTTCTGGTTCCTTCCACTGAGCAGTCTTGTGATTATTGCCTCAGAGGAGTGGAGGGAGCAGGCAGATCTACAGATGCTAGAGCGCTCTTACCTCTGGCTTTGTTGGGTACTTTGCCAGGACTGGCTGGGGTCTGAGCTATTTGCCCTTTCTATTACAGGTTGAACCTCATAGAAGTGCTTTTTTTTTTTTTTTTTTTTTTTTAATCCATGTACCCTTCCAGTAGCCCGGTAATCATGCAGTGGGGTGTTGTGACCTTGAAAAGATGGAGAGGAACATACTGCCCTGAAGATTTAACATCGTTGATTGTTTTGTCTTTAGAGTTGGTTGTTGGTTTAAAGTCTTTCTAACAACTAAGCAGAGAAAAACCTTTCTTCAAAAGCTAGAGCTAACTCTGTGCTCTAAAGAGTCTGAGCTCAGATATCAGGACCCCTTCTCCCCCTCTGTGAAGTCAGGTGTAAGTGTCTGCTCTGCCTTGGCTCTATGCCAGGCCTAGTACCAAGAGGGTCTCAGGGAGCTGCCAGACGGACCACAGGCCATGTGGTACTCAGGAGGGAACTGCCTGGGAAACTTTCCCTAGGAGCTGGTTTGTAGGTGGGGACTGAGCTAGTGACGCTGCAGAGCATCAGTTCTCGTCTCACGTAGAATTTTCATGCATTATCATGCACAAGCTCCACATAGACTGTGTAGCAGAGAAATACGGGCATACTGCTTCAGTGTGTGTGTGTGTGTGTGTGTGTGTGTGTTTATAGGGGTGAGATTACCTGGCTTAGTGATCTCTATCCAACTAGTCAGACTTGATCCTTCAGGAAAGGTAGTAGTTTTGTGTTTTTCTCCTTTTTTTTTAGCTAAAACTTTTTTTCAGCCCCAAATACTTATGTTCATATTGATAAATGGAATTGATTTCAACTTCTTTAGGTGGGGAGCATACAGTTTTGTGCTTTTTTTATACATGAATTTTATACTTGATTTTAAAAATCAATATCTCAGTCAGATTACAGAACCTAAAATTTTACCTAGCTTCTTGTTTAATCCAGGTAGGTCCTGGTGCTGGAGTCCAGAGCTGTGGAGCAGGAGGCAGGGCTTTGGGTGTCAGGAGGCGGGGCGTCAGACACCAGCAGCCTGGTAGCAGTGAGGTCCCAGCCCAGTTCTGGAGTCTTGGATTCACCTTTATGTTTAAGAACTATGACTTCATATTATTTCTTATCAAGTAATAGTATAGGTTTATTTAAAAAAAATAAAAAGGTAAAAAATGACTTGAAAAATTTAAAACCTCATGACTTTCCATTACCCAAAGATAACCGTGGTTATACTGAATACATAATTCATATTTCTTAGATTACGTATTGATGGGTGACCTGATTTTAACTGTACTTTAAAAATTGTGAACATATTCCATTTAAATTTTAGGTAGGCATTTTAATGAATCTCTCATACCGTGTAGTTCCCTTTGGAACTGCATGGAGTTTATTGCCCCTTCTCCCTTCCTCTTCCACTTTCCTTTCCCCTTCCCCTCACCCTCCTCCCCCCTTCACTCCCCTCCCCTCCCTTCCCTTTCCTCCTCTCTCTCATACTTTCTTTGTTCTTTCCTTATGCTGTTAAATCAGTGCTGTGGTGATTACTCCTGAAGCTTAGTTTATATACACGTTTCATTTACTCTTTAGCATAAAATAGTCAAAATAGCCTAAAGGCTAGGATCTTGCACATTTTTGTTATCTGTTATGAAAGAGCTTTTCAAAAGAATGGCTGCCTGCCCTCCTGCTGGGAGCGGACTGGTCAGTCCATAGGGGGCATCTTGCTTATAAGACAAAATCAGTATGTGGTTCTTGCTGGTAGGGCTGGGCCTGGGGGAGCACTTGTTGAAGTATGACTCGCATGCGGTACATGAGTCCTGAATTCCCAGCACAGTGACCTCTTTCATAGGTGTACTACATGG